CGCGGACACGGGACGCGGGGTCTCGCGCTCTCGACCCCCTCTTCTTCCCTCAGCACCTTCGGCCGGCCAAGGAACGCCGAGAAAATTCCGCGCCAAATGGGTCACGTGGCGGGCCCTCGCGGGTTTTCCTTCCAATCGCCGCACGGGAGAGCCCAACTCGGCCCGGAAAGGGGGACGGAACCACCCATCTAGGTTCCGGCAGCGAACGATGGTGCCTTAGGGGCTCTGAAAGCCTCGCTACAGGGACAGAACAAAGACTGACAGGAGCCCGATTCCCCCACGTAGAGCCTACATTCATTCATAGGCAGGGTTCCCCCTCCTTCTCTGGTAAGAATGGTAGCGTCCAAACTTGAGCAAATTTTGCTGCACATCTCTTTAAAGTAATTCGACGTAGGTTACGAAGGTCGGACAGTCCATTTCCATCGCGGGTGGGGGAGCTTGTTTTAAGTTACTCAAAAGCAACCCTCTTGAACCAAGACTGTATCCTTCCAGATTAAGTTTTTTTTTCATGTGTTAGATGTGTGCATGTGCCTTTATTTGCTTGTAATCATTTCTGTCTTTATCACTTATACTTGGTATCATTTAATCTATGTCCTTTTGTTAATATACTTGTTTTATTTTCATTAAAAACGAGCTCAGTGCTAGGTGTGCTTACCTCAGTAAAGCTGTGAGGTATTCACTCTATAAACAAAATACAGGACTATGTAGCACTTTAAAGACTAACAAGATGGTTTATTAGATGATGAGCTTTCGTGGGCCAGACCCACTTCCTCAGATCAAATAGTGGAAGAAAATAGTCACAACCATATATACCAAAGGATACAATTTAAAAAAATCCTTTGGTATATATGGCTGTGACTATTTTCTTCCACTACTTGATCTGAGGAAGTGGGTCTGGCCCACGAAAGCTCCTCACCTAATAAACCATCTTGTTAGTCTTTAAAGTGCTACATTGTCCTGCATTTTGCTTTAGCTACCCCAGACTAGCACGGCTACATTTCTATCATTTACACGACTCTGAGTTGTGCATCTGAGGAAGTAACATTGGATGAAACTAGTTTCGACCTTAGTGTTCCTTTGTAGCGGTTCGGAGGCGGGGCAACGGATACCCCCAGTCCCGCCCTTTCGCGCCTACCTTCTCAAACGAACCAATCAGCCTCCTTGTTGTGGCGCCTAATTGGCTCTGTCTGGGCAAAGTACTCCCCCAGTGAGTGTTATTGGTTCCGCCCAACGAAGCTCCAGCCCGGGGAAGCTGCTCTAACCCCCTTGTGCCGGCAGAAGTGGTTTAGTCCTGCACGGGTGACAGGCTCTGCCAGGGCTGCTTGTGGCTCGCGCTGTGGGCGTTATGGCTGCGGCTGTGCCCGTGGGCGGGGGCGGGGGCGGGGGCATTCAGGGCTCCCTGCACCAGCTACTGTGCGCGCTGGAGGACCCGGACCCCGCTACCGCCGCCCTGCGCGGCTACAACCTCATCCGCAGCCTGGGGGAGGCGTGCGTGACCAGCACCGGGCAGGGCATCCGCGGTAACGAGCGGGCGCGGGGCCGGGTGGGGCGGGCTCTCAGGCGCCCCGCCCGCCACTTGTCCCCGCCGGGAAGGGGTTCGTGGCAATGACCCCACGGGCCGCGGAGTCACTGTGCCCGGGGCTAGCGCGGCCACGTGGGCCGGAGAAGGGGGGGGGCAGGGAGCCCCGGTCTCAGCTCTTGGGTTGTCCTCGCCCCAGTAGCTGCGTGTGCCAGCAGCTCCCCCGTCAGCAGGCCAATGGACCTGGTACGATGCCCTCTCCGGGGCTGGCTGTGGGGGGCTTGGCTGTGCCAATTTATAAATCTTCCCTTCCTTGTCTTGACATTATGCTATGTAAGACTGTCTAAAACTATTCTGTGCAGTGCTACCAGCCACAGTTTTTTCTAATGGGTCAGGGAAGCTCTACCCCTGTTAAGTGTTAACCATTGGCTGGAGAGCCTCACCTCACTGAATCAGGGAACTTCTATCCTATTGAACCCTAACCCTAGTCGCAGGAGGTAAATCTTCCCTTCCTTGTCTTGACATTATGCTATGTAAGACTGTCTAAAACTATTCTGTGCAGTGCTACCAGCCACAGTTTTTTCTAATGGGTCAGGGAAGCTCTACCCCTGTTAAGTGTTAACCATTGGCTGGAGAGCCTCACCTCACTGAATCAGGGAACTTCTATCCTATTGAACCCTAACCCTAGTCGCAGGAGGTCTGTGATGTTTAACCCAGATCAAGGCCTTTTACCTTTTTGAAACCTGGTCCTGGCATGGAGACTGTGCACCCTATTGAACCCTACCAGTTATTTGGGGGATAATGACCCCAACACTAGCATTGGGAACCCTGATCCTAACCCAGGAACACAGTCTAGTGAAACCTAACCTTACCCGAGCGAGTGCACTACACTACCCTTTTAAACCCTAATCATATCTGGGGAGTCCTTGAAAGATTAACCTGTTTTGGGATTCTTTAGCCTACTGGACCTTAACCCTATTTTGGGAGCCCTTGTCTGTTGTCTAGCTTTACCTCTAGGCCTGCTTGGATTTCAGCACTGTCAAGGCTTGGAGCCATGCTTCCAACCCTCCTAGGCCTCGGGCCAGGTGATGCCTGTGCTCTGAGGCTGGGGCAGGGCCCCCACTGCCTGTCCTCCAGGGCTGGGGGCTGCTTTCCCTATGCTCCCGCCAGGGCCAGGGAAGGCCAGGGCCATACACTGTCTGTTTCCTGCCCCCGTCCTGTTCCCTGGATGGGGAATGATGGGGCTGTGTGCTGTCTGCCCTTCTCCCCAGGGAAGGCTGTGGCTGTACACCAGCTGCTGGGGCAGGAGTGGCCTGCTGCTACAGAGGGGAGGGGTGGTTCCCACAGGGTCCTGAGCAGAGGGCTTGCTTTTTCCAATGCTAGATTTACCCACTGCCCATGCTCAGGGTTTCTTAAAAAGTCAAGACCACCCAACTCACTAAACCATGCCATCCTTCCTTCAGTGCTGCTGCTGCTAGTGATGGGTGTGCTGCTGCCTTCAGAGCTGTGCAGCTGGCCAGCCACCAATGCCCTTCAACCATCCAGCTCTGAAAGCATCCTGGAACTAAGGGTGGCAGTAATGTTACATTTTGCCTCTATAGACTTACAAGCTACTTTTTGGCCAGGATCTCTAGTTTGAGAAATGCTGGCCATGTTCATTGAATTCTAACCATAGCTGTGGGAGAGTTTTGTCTAGAAAGCTGTGTCCTTTTGAATCTTAAGCCTACCCTCTTAAACCCTGAACCCTAACCTGATCCAGGGTAGAACACTAAACCTTGCATTTGAAGCCCTTGCAGCCCCAGCTCTATCTCTACCCTCAAGACTTAAATTTAGCTGGAGCTGTGTGGAGTGGTGCTCTGGTAAATATTTTCAAACCCACAGACAGAAGCCCAACCCCTGGTGCTTCACACGTAGCAGAAGCCCAGAGGCTTTGGAAGATATTCGGAGAATTTAAGCCTTGCTTACCCTAGTGAGCCCTAGCGTATAGCATCCTAACTGTAGACCTGGTAGCTATACTCTTCTGAAACCTAACCCAGGCTAAGGAAGGCATAGTTTACTTATCTGTTGCCCCAGGAGACATTCCATTTTTAGCTTTAACCTTAGCCCGGGGAGCCCTAACCTATTTAATCCTAACTTGGGGAGTTGTATTCTACTGAACCAGGCATGATCATGAGCATTAGCAGCTGCAGTCAAGTAGTACCCTACAGAGCCCCTCCCTATTAAATCCTAAACCTAAGCTGGGAAGTCCTTGCAGCTTAAAATGAATCCTTACACTGGGGATCTCTAGCCTGTTAAACCCTGTCTCTGCTCTTCAGATACCTAGCCTATTGAAGCCAAACCCTGCCCTTCAGCTCCACTCCGGTCCCTTCCCTGGGGTGACCTGCCCTACTGAATCCTCAGCTTAGTCTAAAAAGCCCTGTTGAAACCTCACAATATCTTGGATGTTTCTAGTTTTTGATCCCTGAGTCTAGCCTGAGACCTGTGCGCTAATAAACAGTAACCTCAGCCCTTCTAACCTTAGCCTATGGAACCCTAACTTTCCCAGGGGGAGCTCCACCCTATTAATGTCTAACCCTATCTCGGGGAGCTCTACCCTGTTGACCACTTGCCCTGAAAGTTGTAACACATTGAATTTTAACCTTGGGAGCTCTAGTGTACTGGACCCTAACTCTAGCCCAGGAGCTTTTACACCCCTAGCCCTGTCTCTGCACTTGGCTCTAAGAAATTGAGCCCTAGCATTAGTCCATAGAATCCCTGCTTATTGAGCCTAAATGGGGGAACTCTAGCTTCTTGAACCCCATGCTGGAGAGTTGTAGCCTTTTGAGCTCCAACGCAGTCTCGGGGAACTCTATCCTATTAAATAGTAAGGCTATGTCTACACTCACGGCTTCTTGCTCAAGTAATATGCAAATGAGGCTAAGCGTGGAATATCGCCGAGCCTCATTTGCATACCTAATGAGCCGCCATTTTTTTCAGAAGAGGCTCTTGCGCAAGAAGGGGCAGGGTAGACGCTCCTTCTTGCGCAAGAGCCTCTTCTGAAAAAAATGGTGGCTCATTAGCTATACTGGCCCAAAAGTCTATATCTGTCCTTGGGGGACACATCCTTTGTAACACTGTCCTTAGATCAGGGAAGTCTTCTTACCCAAAGCCTTTCCCTAGCCTGGGGATGCCTACTCTTACTCATGCAAAATGTACCTGGAGAGTTCTAATGTCTCCAGGCCTGATCCCGATAACCTGAGCCTAGTCCTTGGTAACTAAACTTAATCTGGTGAACTTTCCAGCTCCAGGTTTCACCATGACCGGATGTAACATGTTGAGACTTCTTAAAAGGCCAGTTTGTGTTATTCTTACATTGTGAAATACTTTATGTAGTAATTTGGGTTCACAGACTGTACCCATGGAGAAAAGTACTACTCTTGTGTCAGGATGCCAGATTCTGACCCTAAAATTGTGCCCCAACTGCTGCATCTGCAAATGGCAGTGTTGCTGCAGGTGTTAGAAACTTGCAGCTTCACTTCCTCTGTTGAGTATTCATGCTTCTCAAGTCACTCTGCTGTTTACTGAGGATCCTGTTTATTACACTCTGAACTGTTAAGTGGAAGTTTTAAGCAGCTTGATTTAGCTAATTCCTGTTTTTTTTTTTAAACAACAGCTGATATTAGAAATTAAATTAATTAGTTGTTTGCAGTATTATTATAGGCATGTTGCTCTCAGAAATTAAGAGACAAAACGGATGAGATAATGGGATTTATTGGACCAACTTCTGTTGGTGCAAGAGACAAGCTTTTGAAGGACGTGAAGTTCTTCAAGAAATATATTAGTGGTGTGTGTATTCAGAAAAAATGAAAGGGAATACTTATTTCACCCAGCATATAACTATATGTGAATCCATGGCATTCACTACCATAAGGGACTATAGGATTAAATTCTGTATTTGGATTTTTTAAAGGGCAGAAAAATTCTAGGATTAATATTTCACTGTGGCAGAGGCTTAATGTTTTTCTGAAGCATTGGATGTTGTCCACCATTAGAAGTGGGATAGGGGACTTTGCTGGATCATTGGTCTGATCTGGCATGTAAAATACTATGTTCCTATCCAGACTCTTCATGGTTTTACTGGGTGAAAAAAATCAAAATATGCTGACGTGTGCTTTTTGATCCTGTCTACACTGATATTTGAAATCATGTTAGCACCTTTATGGCAAGAAGTTTATTTAAACATACATTTGGATAGGAGCTAAAACAATTTCAAATGTTAGTATAGATAATGTCTTAGTCTAGGACAGTGGTCTCCAACCTTTTTACACCCAAGATCACTTTTTAAATGACAGACCAAACCAAGATCTACCGCCCCGTCCCTTCCTTGAAGCCCCACCCTCTCTATTCTCCTCTTTTCCATCACTTGCTATCCCCAATCCTTATACTGCTACTTTAAAAAAAAAATTCCCACCATTCCTCGCAGCTCCTCGCCTGTGCTGTTGCTCGGTGAGTAGCTGCTCCTCAAATGAGGAAATCTAATGTAAATGTACAGTGCAGGTGCACAGTTCAGAGAGGGCTCAAGAGCTACTCTTAGAGCCTCCGAGATCTACCGGTAGATAGCGATCTACTGGTTGGTGACCACGGGTCTAGGATGACCACTCTTCATACTCATTGATAATACATAATTGACAGGTTACCCTTTAGGGTCATTGCAGTCCTCATGTTGCTATATTGGTTCTGGCCTCAGGATTGCAGAGTAAAAATGGTGTAAAGCCCCTTTTCTCTCATCCCTGATTCTGTGCCCAGCAGTGTTGTACTGAACCTGAGGTTTGAGCATATATATGTGTACTGAAAATTTTATCAATAGAATTTAGGGTTCAATCCTGTAGCCCTAATTCCCATGACTAGCCCTTTTGGCTTCAGTGAGAATATTTATGTGAGTTAGGACTAAAATCATATCCTTTTTTAGCAATGAAAATAATTAGTTGTACTTTAAAAGTGGATGTCCTGAATAATGCCCAGTATTCTCTACATAATCAGATTCTAGCCATTGTTTGGAAATAGATTTTAAATAACAAAGCAACTAGTTTGATTCTTTGCTTGCTCTTTCTTCAGCATTGCAAACTTCCCTGGTATTTTCCAAAGAAAATGGATTACTTGTGTTTGTCCGCAAGTCTCTCAGCATTGAGGAAGTAAGTTGATAAACTTAGTGTTTTTGGTATGTTTTTTAAAGAATTGCAGTATTTTTCCTCTGATAAGTGAAAGTATACAGGCTTTCATTTCTAAAATGCAACTTTGTTTTTCAGTTTCGAGAGTGCAGGGAAGAAGCTTTAAAATTTCTATGTATCTTTCTGGAAAAGATTGGTCAGCAAGTTCATCCTTATGCTCATGATATTAAGGTAAGTGAAGTAAAACTTATTGTAAAAAATCTGTCAAATGCAGTTCTCCAGTCTCTTTAATTTAAACACGAAAGCTGAAAGATACACAAAAATGACTGATACCAGCATCATGACCTTCCTGTAGGCAATTCATCCTTTCCCACCCAATGTTTCTAAGAGAGCTGAAATGGAAGAGCAATATTGGTTTACATGTTAATGCACTGGTATCATTTAAAATGTTAGTATAGTTTTGTAGTATTTGTTAAAGTACCTTAGAGCTAGCAGGGTTAGAATATATTTTGCTCTCCCATAAAAAATGGAAGTTGCTGGGTTTGGATTTTTTTATAATGTTGCACCAGTGAAATATTTGATTTAAAAGAAATACAGTACTTTGAATCTTTCTGCATCAGTTTGTAGTGACTTTTTAAAAGGCTTGTTTTTCAGACAAGCTGACCACCTGTAGTACCATTTGAAGTCCATGGGAACTGTGAATACTTATCCGTTTTTAAAATGTGTCTCTTAAGGGTATGTTACAGTGCAGTTAAAAACCCCATGGCTCGTCTGGGCTAGCTGATTCTGATGTGGATGGCTCAGGCTAAAGGGCTGCTAATAGCGTTGTAGACATTCAAGGTGTGTAGCTGGAGCGGAGCACAGATTTTAGGACCGTATAAGAAGGGAGGGTCCTGAATATCTACACCACCATTAAATAGTACCTTTGCCATGTGAGCCTAAGTACACCAGTATGGACCAGCCACGATGTCTAATTGCATTGTAGACCTACTCTAAGGCTATGTCTACACTTGCGGCTTCTTGCGCAAGAACATCTTGTGCAAGTGTTGTGCAAGAACTCTTGTGCAAGAAAATGTCCACACTGCCGTGTGCGAGATGTGCTTTTGCGCAAGAGCGCCCATGGCAGTGTGGACGCTTTCTTGCGCAAGAAAGCTCTGATGGCCATTTTAGCCATAGGGCTTTCTTGTGCAAGAAATCCCTGCTGAGCATCCATACTGCCCTCTTGCACAAGAGCTCCCATGCAAGAGGGCTTACACCTGTCAAAAAAGAGCGTAGCTTTTGCGCAAGGAGCCCCTCATACCACGCCGTACTGTAAATTTACTTGCGCAAGAGCAGGCGGGCAGTGTGGACGCTCTGCAGATTCTTGCACAAGAACAGCTGTACTTGCGCAGGAAGCCGTGAGTGTAGACATAGCCCATGAGTCTAAGCTGCTCAGTAGTATCCATTTAATTGGAGATGTACGTTTATGCCATTGTGCTTTTTGAGCTCATGGTAACAGCCTCCTGCCTAAAAGGAATGGGGACTTGTGGTAGACGGCTTGTTGCATGAGGTCTTTTACTGTAGAATTTGCTTCTCTCTAGGTTTATCCGAACTTGAATTTGCTAACTCTAGGACACACTGCAAAGCCAGTCTTTTTCTTTTTTTTCTGTTGGGTTGCTTGAGAGATATGTGGGTTAGTATTGCTGTTTTCTGGGTGAATATCATGGATGTAAAAAACACACAAAAACAAAATCAGAATTCTGTCATTTATCTGATTAAATGTTTTAGAAGATGTAAATGTAAGGAGGGAAGGGTCCTGGAGGAGTGTCCTCCCCCCCCCAACCCCGATCTCTTGGGTGCTGCCCCTCACTGTAGGCTCTGGCACTAGCAGGATCCTGGCAGCTGAGTTTAACTCTTTACAGTAACCGACAAGCATCAGCTTATTGGTTAAACTCTGACCTCCCTAGTGAATATGTATTCTAGTCTTCATTGGCTTTATGTGAAAAGCTGTTTTTTTCCACTTGGGTTTTGTATATTTTAAATGTTGTAAAATACCTAAAATCATTGGGAAAATGTGCTTCAAAGAAATATCTAAAAATTTAAATATTTTTTTTAAAATTTCACCCTGTTAATAATTATGGTTTTTTTTTCTAACTTAGCAAACTTGTATTAGCGTTTACACAAAAGAAAAGGCTGCAAAATGTAAAATCCCAGCTCTGGAGCTCCTCATTAAGGTAAAACATACTTTCATTGTTTCTCAGCCTAGAGACTTTGAGTTTATGCTGCTGTTGAATTTGATAGCCAAAGTCTACCATTACAAGGGAGATTTGGTGGTTTAATTCTGTAGGAAGAATTCTATCATTCTAAAGAGACTGGGACTTTTCAGTTTAGAAAAGAGGAGACTGAGGGGGGATATGATAGAGGTCTATAAAATCATGAGTGGTGTGGAGAGGGCTGATAAAGAAAAGTTATTTATTAGTTCCCATAATAGAAGAACTAGAGGACACCAAACAAAATTAATGGGTAGCAGGTTTAAAACGAATAAAAGAAAGTTCTTCTTCACACACAGCGTAGTCAACCTGTGGAACTCTTTGCCAGAGGAAGCTGTGAAGGCTAGGCCTATAAGGGTATGTCTACACTAGCTGGTTAATTTGAGCTAGGTAGGCAAATCGGGAAACCGGGGTTGCAAATGAAGCCCGGGATTTAAATATCCCAGGCTGTATTTGCATGTTCCCGTCCAGCCGCCATTTTTAAATCTCCCTTAGTCCAGTGCTGGCCACTGTCGGTAGACAGGATACTGGGCTGGATGGACCTTTGGTCTGACCCAGTACGGCCGTTCTTATGTTCTTATGTTCTTAAGAGTATTAAAAAAGTATTTCTCTGCCCACAAATTAGTCTGAATTTTCTTTGACTAAGATGCTTAATTGAGTTGCCATCCCTTCGTTTGTGTTGGAAGCCATTCTGAATTTTGAGGGTCATCAGAGTGTATCTTTATTCCCAATTTAATTGCTGTTGTTTAAAGCAACACTGTGAACCTAAAAATCACACTTCTGTTTGAAAATATTTATCTGTTACAGATAACCATTTAGGTACTGTAACTGAAAGATACTGGAAGAACAATGTGTGGGAACATCTCATTGGGAGAGGGAGGGGTCCCTCAGGCAGCGGGCTGGGGGATTGCGTCAGGGCAGAGGACCCGGAGGTAAATAAGGGCACATGGGGGTCAGAGGAGGAGGCAGAGGAGACACGGGAGAGGAATGGAGGATGGAGGAGAAGAGAGGAGGAACCAAAAGGAGGCACAGAGGAGAAAGAGATGGGGGAAGGAGACTGCAGGGGGGAAGAGTGTTGAGGATCGCAAACAACTTGAAGGAATCCCAGGAGGGCAAGGAGTCTGGTGAGAAGGGGGAGGAAGCGACCCAGGGCCGGGGTGGGGCGGGGGAGTCACACAAATTCATTTAGCGTTTTAGGGGGTTGTGGTATCACAAAGTTTGAGAACCCCTGGCATAAGGAAAAAACAACAAAACCAATATTTATTTTATAGTAATGATAGCTTGTTTTTAACTACTTTACACTATCAGAAAACATGCCAACCGCTTTTAACTTAGTCTGCTAAACCAGCTGGACTACATGTGCTTAAAGTTAGATTGAAGTATCTTCTTGGCTTGTGGGCCTTATTTACCTTGATCTAACTGGGAAAAAATAAAGCAATTGTTTTTCTAATTTGTGGGTATCTTGTATATATTTCCAGTTGCTTCAAAATTTACGATCTTCCTTTTTGATGGAAGAACTGAAAGTTGGAGAGATCTTTAACAAATTTTATGGGGAACTTGCTGCAAGAAGTAAAGTGCCTGACACGGGTGAGCCTTAGCTTTTCTTAACAATATTCTCATTTGTTTGATTTACTTTCTTTTAGTATAATAGAGCCTCAGAGTTATGAACTGAGTGGTCAGTCACATGTTGGGAATGTGAATGTTTGACCGGTTAACCTGTAAGCCTCACCCTTAATGGGTGAAGCTTACCAGGTAAGGTTAAACAGTGGAGGCTGGACCTACTCCCCACCTACTGCAGGCAGGGGGCTGCTTCTGCCCCATCAAGGCCTTGTTACGGATGGAACTGCTCCAGCCAGGCTGGATCAGTCTCTATCCACAGTAGGCCTGGGTACCCCGCAAGCAGGGGCTGTTCTGGTCAGAGCAACCCCTGCCTGCAGGACATCTTGGCCCACCACAGACAGGTGCTACTCTGGCATCCTGCCTGGAGGAGCCTCTATCTGTGTCAGGATTGATCACTGCGCAGGCACGAGCTGCTCCAGCCTGCGGCGGTGGGGGCTGCTCCAGACCAGTAGCAGGTGAGGGGGCTGCTCCAGCCAGGCTGGAGTTACCTCCATCCCTGCCCACCCTCCTCCTGAGCACTGGTCCTGCCTGCCTCCCGCCCCGGGGCTGGGGGGAAGAAGAACATGTAACCAGTAAAAATTCCAGTGGTTACAAGTTTACACAAATACATGATAGTTAACATCCCTACATCCCACTGACATCAGTGAGATGTTCCCACACAGAACTCATGACAGGAGTCTTAGGCTATATTTATAATAATGTTACATTATTTTTAAACTTTCACTGCTGCTTTCAACTCTTTGATTAGGGACTTAGAGTATAAAGGTGTTCAGCACCTTGCTTTCTCAAGTCCTATTGATTCTAGTCTGAGTTGAGGGTGTGTGACATCTCAGAGGATTGAGCCCTATAGTTTAGTATTAAAATCTGTCACTGCCTTGAATAAATTGAATACATTAATCTTCACCATGAGATCTGGTAATTAATTTCAAATCAAAACATGGAAGTATATGTATCTATGAAAGCACTGTTTTACTCTTTTTCATTTGCCAGTCATTGTGCCAAGATATCAGTAGCCTTAACTGCCTAGATAAGTGGGTGCACAGTAAAGTTCCCTCTAAGCTGCATGGCTGCACAGCTGCCTAATAAACCCCATGCAGGAACTCAGGGGTGCCACAAACAGAGCTGCCGCAGCCTCGAGAGAGGCTGGCACTTCTCCAGCTGCAGCAGGGAACTAGTGCAGCTGGGGGAAAGGAGTTTCTGGCCGCAGCAGGGAGCTGCTGCACTAGAGGGAGAGATGCCGTATCAAAGTTCTCCTCCCGGCCCCCTCACCGTCCTCAATCCCCAACAACACAGACCTGCTGTATCCGGGAGAGAGGCATCCCTCTCCCAGCCCAGCCCAGTCTCACTAGAGCTGCCATAGCCAGCAGAGAGGACTTGGAAGAGCCCTCTCTCCTGGGGAGCCTGTACCCAAAATTCCACATCCTCCACCCCATCCCAGATCCCACGCTCTGAACTACAGCTTTCATCCATGCACCGTAACCCTCTGCCCCCCCAGCTCTGAGCCTCTTCCCAAACCTCTCATCCCTACTCATACCTTAGAGCCTGCATTCCCATCCTCCCTAACCCTGAGTCCTCTCCCACTTTCCAAACCCCTCAGCTCCACCCCTGCCACAAATTATCCATGTGCAGAATGAATTTTAATATGTACATCAATATGGAGGTGATGTGTCACACATCATCTCTATATTGATGCATATAGCGAAATTTATTCTGTACATGAACATGAAAGGGAACATTAGTGGAAAGACACGGATTTTATAGTACTAGTTACTAACCACTTGTACCTCTTTAATTGATCAACCCTGGGAAACAGGGTATGTTGAATTAAAGATTTTGCTGGTACAGGGAGGGTGATATGGATCTTGGCAGGTGGGGGTAGGATGATTACCTGGCAACCTGCTCCTGGGGGCACATGTGGCTCCATGTCTCTTGTTGCTCCTAGGCACCACTCCTGGCTGTTATTGATGTGCCTGGGAAAAGCCTCATGGGAAGTTTGTTACCATGCTGCCATTCCCCCAGATAGGGGCATGAGCAGTGGCAGCTGTAGTAAGATGAGGGCCTGAAACAAAAGTCCATGTAGTGTCACAAGGGAGTGCTGTGATCTGGTTGATCAAACTGTATCACACTACCCATTTGGTTCAGCATTCACAGAACAAAAGAGTCTTTCACAGTATCTTAAACATACCTCTAACAAGTTTTATTGCAGGCAATTCAGGAGCAATTTTAAAAGCACTATATGTATATGTATATTTAGTACTAAGCAATTAAAACAACATTAAAATACATTAAAAGACATCACAAGCATTAAAAGCAATATTTAAATGGAATAATTAACAATCTACATCTAAGCCTAAACCCAATTTAGCAGCCTAATTCTTAATTCAATTGAATACACTCACTCACTCACTCACCCTCTGGGGCTGGCCAGACCCCAGGTAATGTTGGTTAATTTGATTGAGGCGCAAGTCCGATATGTACATCACCCCAATATGCCGAATTGATGGACTCCAACTTGTGGGGAAAAATGGTGTGGTATATATCCCCTCGGCAGGGGACAGTCCAGTGAGATGCCATCCACTGGTTACTCACAGTCCAGGTGGGATGATGTCCGTTAGTGATACCCCCTTCTTCTTACTGGTGTGTCCACGACTGATCCAGAAATATCCAGTTTTTGCACCGCTTGTCTCACCATGAGTGAGAAACAATGGTCTGTTCTTGGTTAGATTCTTCCCTTGTTACTTTTCCTTATCTGGCAATGCTGGGAACGCTGCCTCCGCATGCATACACGGTTCTTTTATCTCATGCAGTTCTCTTTCTTAAAGTTGTAAACAAGTCCATAATCCTCCGGAGTTTTTTCCTGGACCAAACAAGTCCATAATCCTCTCTTCAGCTCACTTGCTATGGATTCACTCATACTGACCATTCACACTGCCCATGATTCGTGACAGTACACCAGATTGGTTTGACTCACTTTGAGGCCTAGCTAACAAAGGACAAAACTTGAATAATACAAAGCAAAGCTAAGCTGTGAGCAAGAGGCAGACCACTGCTCCCAGAACTTGGCACGAACAGGGCTGAGAATGCAAAACACTAATTTGTAATAGGCCCAGGTGTGGAACGGTAATTGGTTCTGGTCATACGTTGAAAGCGCATTCTAAAAGATGGTACCACTAGCTCATTCAAAAGATCTCGGTACCCAAGCTGGGTATCTCCCGACAGATACTGGCTCAGGTTCAGGAAAGGGTCTAAAATGATATCATGATGGATAGAGATGTTCTAAGGGTGATGGATGGTATTTAAGTAGCATCAGGGGGTATGTCTACACTTGCACCCTAGTTCGAACTAGGGATGCAAATGTAGGCATTCGAAATAGTCAATGAAGCAGGGATTTAAATATCCCACGCTTCATTAGCATGATCTCACTGGCACATTACTCCGATCAACAGCTGTTTCTAAAGTGAAAGTGCACGCCAAATCCCTTGGTTTGAACTAACGTTACTCCTCATATCCAGAGGGTGGTAACCTGACAGTGTCAGGAGTGATGTGTAACTTGTTTGTATCTGTATATAAAGTGGTGTCTTGGAGAGGCAGTCTTTGTCTGGCCTAGGGGGCAGTGGGACCTCCCATTGACTGTTAGCCCATTGTTAGGGGGTACATATGCATTGTGGTTCAATAGAGTCTACTGATAACTATTACAATACTGATAACTATTACAATACTTTGTTTAACAATAAACCTGGTCAGGTGCCTTCAATTCTTGTCAGATTTGTGGTCTTTGGGATCTCTCTGAGTCTGCTATGCTTACTATTTTCGCAAGTCAACATGGCACACATGATTGAGCACCCACGCATGCAGCTGACTGGTTGTTGTTATTGACAGAGCAGATCTGTCAGGACATGATGCTAGTAAATCCTGATTACTACACCAGCACACACAGCCTCTTCTTCCTCCATACCACGCGTGTTCCTGGATTAGGGACACCTTGTCAGCCGACGGTCAGGGCTGTGTGTGTGCGTGTACGCGTGCACGTGTGCGTGCTGAGAAAAGGTTTAACGTCCGTGACTTTACTGCTAGGACCGGGATCCCGTCGCAGAGGGCAGCCAACAGGCTGACAGACGCCCTTGTTTATAGGAAGAGCTTATTACACCTCAGATTTTAGCTGCTAGGATACAGGATCCCTTTGCAGCGGGCAGTCTAGGGAAGACTGAGAGATGCCCCAACGGATCTGTCACCTGGGAGTGACACGATCCAAACGCCCAAGCTCTTCCTATACCTGTCCCTTATGACCGGCTGAAGTTCTTTTAAATTGTGCTTGGTTCTGTTACAGCAACTGAAGGAGTCAGGTTAAAGCTTAAACAGTTACAGGTTTATTAAAAAGACATAAAAGCATATGGTTACAATGGCTATTGCTCTATTTCTTAACTGCTAGCAAATACAGATCTTATGGTTACAATGGCTATTGCTCTATTTCTTAACTGCTAGCAAATATAAATCTTAAAAATGGTTACAAAGAAAATAAAGATAGAAAATAGAAATAATGGTACTAAGTGACAGCTTAATCTTTAAAGAGCTCTAAGTCTATGTGTACACTTAAGACAAAGGACCACATCCAGGTACAATTTTTACCCCTTTCTGTGACTCGCGACTCCAGCGGGTCAAGCCAGGGTCGGTCTCTCAATTCCTAGGAAAGATGAATACGAGGTGGGCGTCCCCTTGGAACCTCGGGAGGTCAATCACCTAACCCGACCAGCAGATAGATGGTAGATTGACACTCAGAGTAAATGTGCTGCTGGACCCATCTTTATACCTCTGGGGGCCCGTATCCTCTTTCTTATCTAAGATGCTGAATTGTACTGGTCCGTTTTGTGGCACCAGTTCTTACAAGCAAGTTTCAAGTTAATTTACACTTGCAAGAGAGAGAACTAAATTGTGAGTACTAGACCTTTTTTTACTGGGTGAGAGATTCCTTCCCCCGTGGACGGCTGTGTGTTCGTATCAATATGGGATTAAGTCAAGGGCACTCCTCAGCAGCCTCTTGGTCAGCAATTGGCATATCTCTGTTTACAGCCATTCACGATCACACAGCCTGGGCCTTCTGCTCTGTGTGCCCTGTATGCTCCAGGCAAGCAAAAATGGATGTTACAGGGGGGTTCCTGTCTGGCTACACACCTAGAGCAGTGTTTCTTAAACTTTTTAAGACCGAGGAACACCAAACAATTTTTTTTTTATGAGGAACACCAAGGATTTTTTTGTTGAGCAAAAAAAAAGCCTGCCCCTTTAAGGGTGGCCATTTTTAATTCTGTTGTTCTCTGTGGCACACCTCCGACTGCCTCGTGGCACACTGGTGTGCTGCGGAACACAGTTTAAGAAACACTGACCTAGAGCATGGAGGTTCAAGTGTGCCGTGTCATATGGCACAGCAATCTCAAAGTAAGTGATACACATATTGATGTTATTTTTTTTAGTACTGGAAAAATTATATGAACTCCTTGGAGTCTTGGGAGAAGTCCAACCTAGTGACATGGTTGACAACTCTGAAAAATTATTCAGAGCTTTCTTGGGAGAGCTCAAAACACAGGTATGATTGGAAACTCTTATAAACTCTGTTAATCAGTTTTTTCTGTTTTTTATGTTGAATTACCATTCATGCCAAGATTGCTGGATACTTCATGTAACCAGATAGTTGTAAATCATAGTTGAACAATTTTAGTCTTTAATAGCTTCCAAGTGTTGTTTTGCTCTGGTTATAGGGTCTTTGGGTTGGTTACAGGTGGAGGGAGGACCTATTGGGAATTGGCTGAGTACAGTAATGTGGGGAGTGGAATGGGAAGAGTGTGATCATCATCAGCCATGGTGCCCTAAGTAGGGAATGTAATGTCCATTAGAGGTCAGTTTTTTATTTGGACTTTAATAAGCTGCAGAACTTGATTGCATTCTTTGGTTCAGAAGGTTGACATCTCAAATGTGCCTTAGCAATGTTTCTTACACTTCTAACTTGAGCATAATATTTTCTTAAAACTTTTATTTTCAGATGAAGTCAGCAACAAGAGAGCCCAAACTACCAGTAGTAGCAGGGTGCTTGAAAGGATTGACTGCACTTATGTATAATTTTACTAAATCCATGGATGAAGGTGAAGTACTTTTTTATATTAAAAAAAAAGACATTTTAATGTTGTATACCCGACAAGGGGCATCTATTCATTTGGTCTCAAGAGTCACACTGTTTTATAGATGACAATAGATGCAAGCAGTTGTGCAGTCTGAGTGATATTCCCACCATTGGCAGAAGTCTTGTTCGTGTAAAGCTCTTCATGACCCAAAATCGCTGGGTGCTTTAGCAGATGAGAGAGTATGGTCAGAGTGACTGAGTAGTAGAGATGTGAATGGTTAACCGGCAAGCCTTCTGGTTAACTGATAGAGGCTGCTCCAACCTTGCGGGATCTGCCGTGGGCAAGGGGTTGCTCCAGCTTGGCCAGAGCAGGCCCCCCTTCATTGGTTAACCAGTTAAACATTGTTTAACCAGTTAATCAGGTAAATGGGATTTTACATCCCTACTGCATAAGGTGAGAAGCTGAAGTGATCTTTATCCAGGAGTGCCTGGGCAGCTGTACAACTCCAAGTGAAAGTTTGAACATTCTTCTTCATAATTATATACAAGCACACTTAAATTAGCATACCCATGTTGTTTAGAAAGTAATTTTTCAGCAAGTCATACAAAGCAGTATATTTAAAACAAAGAAGTATATTAGTAGCATCCTCGGAGAGTAGGGATGTCAATGTGTAGACAACTGCATGATTAACCGATAAACTTAGGCTTATCGGTTAATCCTATCGACTACATGCATTCCCCCTGCCTCTGTATCCGAGGCGGTAAGAGAGAGGAGGCAGGAGCTGATGCCCTAGGGGAGCTGGCTTTTAAGCCAGCACCCCACAAGCACCAGATCCACCTGCTCCAGCCCATCGTGTTGCTGCCTCTGATAGGGGGATGAGTGGGCCAGGTGAGAGTTGATATGAGCAAGGAGCCGGCTTTTAAACTGGCTCTCCGCACATGCTGACTTTGTGGACCCACCTGCCTCCTACAGAGGGGGGAGGCAGGCAGGAACCGCCTCTCTCCTCCCCCCCGCCCTGTGCTGCTGCCTCTATTGTGCCTGGGCTCACTGTGGACAGAGGCTGCTCCTCAGCATCAGCTCCTGTCCACAGAGGGTCTGAGCTTCCCATGGATAGAGGCTGCTCCAGCATCCCATGGAACAGCCTCTGTTTGTGGCAAGCCTCGGCTGCAAGCCTGGGCCCTGCTGTTGCTAGAGAGGCGGCAGAGTGGAGTGGCAGAGGGTCCCTGGGAATGGGGCTAGGAGAGTAATGTCCGTGGGGACTATTGAACAGTTGTGTAACCACTAAAATTTGATGTGGTTACATGACTATTCAATAACATCCCTATCAGGGAGTGTTTGGATTCTTTTTAAGAATGTGATATTTTGAAAACCTTTAAATTAGTCCTATGGGAATTCTGCAATTGTTGCATTTGAAGCCATAATAAAACTGCAGAATTCCCCCAGAAATGTTTAAATATTGTATCTTTACATCCATAACAAGATAATTTTATCTTGCTGTTCTGTGTCTGTCTCAGAAGTGCCTTTAGTGAAATGTTGAATTATTGTTATCCTACAGATCCCCACACTTCAAAGGAGATTTTTGATTTTGCTGTGCAGGCAATCAGTCCGCAGGTAGAATGTTTGAGTGTGTTCATTCTTTTACCAAAGTTATTTCTAAAGAGCAAGTTATGAATGGTGAACCTTTTGTTTTTACAGGTTGACCTAAAGCGATATGCAGTACCTCTAGGTAAGAATTTTTCATATAGCTGTTTGCAATGCAGTGGATACTATGGAATTTAGATTGTGTGTAATAGAGTAGTCGACTAACTGCATGAATTCTTAGCTGTTAGTTGACAATTCTGTAGTCCCTGGCGGTGGGGGCGGCAGCCAGTGCAATCTGGCCCCACCCCCAAGGAGCCTCCTATCGCCCTGCACTGCTGCCTCTGTATCAGATGCAGCAGCATGGGGTGGCAGGCAGAAGCTGGCCCATGAGGGAAGTCAGTTTAAAAACCAGCTCTCTTTATGGACCGACTGCTTGCTTTCCTTCTGCTCTGTTGACTCTGATACAGAGGCAGCAGCATGGGGTGGCAGCAGCCCCTGTCCGCAGAGAGTCTGAGCTCCCTGCGAACAGAGGCTGTTGCAGGGGAGAGGGGAGAGGAGCCTGCTGCGAAGCACCCTCTCTCTGCAGCAGCTGAGCTGGCCACAGACAAAGGTTGCTCTGGCAGCAGCCTCTGCCTGTGGCGAGCCAGGGCCCACTGAGGGCAGCGGCTGCTTTGTGACACCCTCCCCTACCCCACTCCCCACTGCTTCTGATAGCGGTAGCAGCGCAGTGGGTGAGGCAGGTGGCACCGCGGAACTGGTGTTGGGGGGAACTGGCTTTTAAACTGAGCCCCCCCCAAACACCGATTCCTGCTCTCCCTCTCCTCTCCCTTACTGCCTCTGTTACATAGGCAGCAAAGAGGAAGGAATGCAAGTAGTCCAGAAGAGTAACTGATAAGTCTAGGCTTATCGGTTAATTGTCTACTTGTTCACATCCCTAATGGATGCCTAGCATATCTTGGAGGGAGAAGACATGTTTCCTCTTCTGCTTATTCCATTCAAAGAATACAGCATGTTCTGCATTCCAGGCTAGAAGAGTGGTATGTGTATTCGTGATCTAAAGAGTTAAAAATTGAGTAGCTGGTTGCGAAAAGTAAGTTCTAATACTCAGCAACAACACTGCTTCCAACATTTAACTTAGTGGCTTTCTCTGTCTAATGTGACAACTTTTCAATGCCACATACAGTCAGTTCCAAAATTTTAGGGAACATTCTGGACATCTGTACATACCCAGGATAAAATCCAGATTAACGAGTATCTGTGTCATGCCTGCCCTCTAATCTGGGCTTTCTTTACAATGCTTTCCTGCTGTAGCCTCTTCTTTGGATTGCTTATAAACAGCCTTTAGATAATTTGCTACCCCAAATAGTTTCCCAGACACTTCAGTTAATCACATTGGATTACTTGATGATTCTGTTTAAATGCAAATGAAGCAGAGCTCATATTCCTTTATTTGAAATAGACCTGCTTGCCAACTTCTGCTGTGGTTTGGAAAGTGTGTTAATACTATTATAGAGTGAAATATGACTTGACACAGAATATTGTCACACATTTTATCAGGATAATATCGCCCAGCAAATTGAGTTTTTAGATACCATCTCTCAAGGAGTATTTTATACCAAAACTGTTACAATAGTGCGTAAGGTGTAGACACAGACCATACATTTCTGGGGGAAAGTCTAGGACTGTGAGGGCATGTTGGGGTCACCTGCAATATAATCAATGCTGATAAGTGAATTGCATGCTGCAAGCTGTCTGTCTGTACTCCAGATTAGACGCTACAGCAACAAAACAGAGGATATCCCCAATTTAGAGGGCAATGGTGATACAGCTACTCATTAGTCCAACTTGTACCCTGAATACATTCTCAACATCAGTGGAAAGAACTCTCTCAATTTTTGGTGAAAATTAGAAAAACTGAAAGGGGAAAATGAGAGATTTTTGGAGTCCAAGCATCAGGTTAGCTGAGCCTTCCATATAACAACATTCCCATCTTAGCTCTGCCTATCCTCCCATTGCAGTTCAAAAATGCTGGGGAGAAGGGGACAGTGGGGGCCATACAGAGCCTCTGGCATTGGAAAAAGTGGGAAATGAGGATCAGATAGAGCCCCTACCGTGGGGAGTGATGGGATATGGAGAGCCCCGACATGTTGGAGAGTGGGTCATGAAATCCCTAAGTGTGGGAGAATGAGAGACCTTGGCATGGATGATATAGGGAGGAATGGGAGATCCTGGTATAGAGAGCAAAGGAGGGAATTAGGGGGCACACAATTCTGGGTAGAGAGAGACCATAGTATGGGTGGAGATATGGGGCCCCTGGACTTGGGGGAGATCGGGTAAAATTGGTATGGAGTGAGGGAGGAGGTGACAAGATTTGTAGGGAATCCCTGAAGTAGTGGAGAATGGAAAGTAGCATACAGGAAGCAAAGAGGGGGAATGGAAAGATATAAAGAGCCTTTGAAGGGGCAGCACTTTCACCTTTAAAGTGTAGCAACAACCCTGGGGCTGTTGCTGTACTTCAAAGGCAGAGAAGCCCTTATCGACTTATCAAATAGTTGATCAAATTGCATCAACTATTTGATTAGCCAATTAATCTAAATTTAACATCCCTAGTTCTAATAATCAGAAATACCATTTAGTCAAGATATATTTGACACTTCCTATTGGCCTGATGTACACTTCTAGAAAATAGTTGTCAAAAGCTGGAATAGAAATTTGAATTTTATTGATAATTGTGGTTTTGAATTACAGCTGGTTTACACTTGCTCAGCATGCATGCTGCTCAGTTTGGCACCGCCCTTCTGGACAACTATAACTCACTGTTCAAAGTACTGTCTAAGTGGTGTGGCCATACAAATGCAGAGCTGAAGAAAGCCGGTCATTCAGCCTTAGATTCATTCCTTAGACAGGTACTACTAATTTACATAACTCTAAGTCTTCATCAGAGAGCTACATTTCTCAAACACTAGTAGAATATGGGGAATGTTCATATACATATATATATATTAATGCGTAGTGGCCCTACATAAATAATAAATGATTTCTTATCAGAAAAGGTGGTATAGATTTGTATTTAGGTTGTCTTTTACTTTAATTTCACCTTGATTATTTTCTAGTTTTGGAAAATCCATAATTGTTTGTGTAAATCTGCAGATTTCTCTAATGGTGGCTAAAGATGCAGAAATGCACAAGAGCAAGTTGCAGTTCTTCATGGAGCAGTTCTATGGTATCATCAGAAAAATGGATGCAAGCAATAAGGAGTTGTCCATTGCCATTCGTGGATATGGGCTTTTTGCTGCGGTATGACAAGCTTACTCTGACAAAACAGCATATTAGATAGGTTTTTTAGGATAGGTTTTTTATTAGGATTAAGAAGCCATTCATTTTACATGTTGTCTGTCATGCAGGGAATGTTCCCCTCACTCTGTCCCATCATTTCTGAATTAAGATATATAAAAGAAATAAACTACAAACTCTTGTCTGTTTCTCTCTGGTCTGGCAACATCCATGATCTGCCATGATTTTAGTTAGCCAGATGTCCACTTATCATGGGTGTAGCCAAATTTCCTGCAGACTGATAAAGTTTGTTTATAGCCAACAGTCCTGGCTCTCAGTATTCTGTGCTGTTATTTAGCTCTAATTTACTCCCCAAATGTCTTCTAAGAGCCCAGTAAGCAGTGGAAGTGTTGGTAATGCTGATAGACAATACTGACCTCCAGTGGTTTGGCAAATTCTCTGATTCAGCACTGGTCAGCTCCTGAGAGACTAGAGAGGTTCAACCTGTATATAGGGCAGACTTCTGCATTTTGGCTTAAAATAATCGCTCAGTGAACTCCTACTAAATTCACTTGGAAGACTTGCCAGATTGGGCCTTAGAACATTATAACTCTTTGTTAGTCTGACACATTAATTCAACTTAGACTTATCTTGTTCTGATTGGACATGAAATCTACAGTCTTGGCAGCTATTAGAAATTGGAGTTGCTGCATCTATGGAGTGAAAATAAGACCTTTGTACCGTTATATAATTTTCCTTCCTCTATCTTAACTGGGAGCGTTTGACATAATTTACTCTGGAGTCCCAACAGCGATTCTCCTGGGTTATGAGTAGCATGTTGCTTCTGCCTTTCCCATGGAGCTAAGAGCCACTGGCTCTACAATCATCTCAGCCTATCTCAGTTTGGAAGTAATAACTGGAATCCCCTTTAATGTTCCCAACTTACCTTACAAAGCAGTTGAAGTGAAATGTAAGATGAGGGTATAGCATGTTGTTCCCAAGCTAAATTCTTAGCTTCTCAGGTTGGTTTGGAAAAGTATTGTAACTGAAAGGTCGCAATCAGATATTAATACAATTGCAATAAATTGTAATGCAAGGTCATTTTATTTATTAGCTCTTTAATTTTTCCATGTTGTTCAAAAGTTTTCAACTGTATTATGAGATTCCTATAAAGTTTTAAAAGTAATTTTTATCTGTGATTTGTTTTAAATTATTGTAGTATTCTTATGCTTAACTTAATGCTAATTGAAGTGATACTTTACTTTCTCTCATTAAAGCCTTGTAAAGCAATAAATTCTAAGGATGTTGACTTCATGTATGTTGAGCTCCTTCAGCGCTGTAAACAAATGTATCTCACTGAGGCAGAGACAGCAGAAGAACATATATATCAGCTACCCAGTTTTCTTCAGTCCATTGCAAGTGTTATATTCCACATAGATACGGTAAGTGGAATATTTACTTTTAGAGCCATATATGGATCTGTTAAGACTATATTGAACTACAGCAGAAGAGATTCCAGTTTGGCATTTCATAGTGATTCTTGCTTCTTAGCAAATACTCCTAGGGGATGGGGTAAGTTAGCGTGGTATCAAGAGAATCCTAATGAAAAGTCTGTTGAATAAAGAGAAGGATAACACTGAGACTAGACAAAATGATAAATACTATGACAATTAGTGCATTATAACAACACTTTTTTACGTTTCTTTTTAAATTAAGGTTATTTTGTGTAGGGTTTTTTTTTTTAGTTTGTGCATTCTATAACACTTTGTATACCGTGAGTTTCACCTTTTCCTCTGAATACCTAATCAGTTTGTCTTGTTTCAGTCATCTTTCATACATTGGAAAGAGAAATATTTCTCCAGCAATACAGCAGACCTTTGTATCAGCTGTTTGTATTAGCTTACTATCTTTATCTGCTCCACACTGATAAGTCTAACAGTTAAATTGCCACACTGAAAAGGGTAAATGAGTCTGTGGTAGGAATGTTAAATTTAGTTTAATCAATTAATTGATTAGTCAACAAGCAGGGGAGAGTCACATGGGGTTAGTTAACCCAGCTGCGGCTCTGCCTTTTAAATGTATTAAGAGCCGGCAGGAGCTGAAGCGCAGTGGAGGAGGACCCAGCGCGAGGCAGGACAGTGATTGTTGGCTTGCGCTGGGTCCTTCTGCTGTGCTTCAGCCTTTTAAATATATTAAGAGCCAGTAGGGTCCGCCCCGCTTGCTGCCTCTGATAGACTAGTCGCTTATATCCCTACTTTGTGGACTTCTTTGTGTTTCTGGAGGGTGTGTTTCCTGATCACCGGCCATGGGTTGTGAGTATGAAGAGCAAGAAGAACCTGTACTTGATTGTCCTGGATTGAAATGCATAAAAACAGATTGAATTTCTGATTTTGTGATTGCTTTAGTGTAAATGAAGCTTATACATGATAATAACAACAATAATAATAACAACAATAATAATAAAATAGAATTGTTTCTGGTAACACTTGCTTTCACTAAGAAACAGCTTTTCTGTTCATTAGGACATAATATGTCTCCAGGAAGCCTTCACTAACTCATAACTGACTGTCTTAATGTTTTCAATTCTGGCTATATACAGAGGCTTGCTAAGTCAGAAGAGAATACAGTAGACAATTGTGGAACATTTATCTCCTTTTATATTTTTTTTGAGAATTGTTTATTTGAGAAGATTTGCATAATTTCCTGAGTGTTAGTGAGTTAGAATCATTGCTTTTACAGGACACTATTTTTTCTGCTCTCATTTTATCTAGATCCCTGAAGTGTACACTCCAGTTCTCGAACATCTAATTGTGGTGCAAATAGATAGTTTTCCACAATACAGTGTAAAAATGCAGTCAGCCTGTTGCAAGTCCATAGTAAAGGTTTTCCTAGCTCTGGCAGGAAAGGGACCAGTTCTCTGGAGTTTCATCAGCACGGTGGGTGAGTATGTGTTACTGACTCCTGGCTTCTCCATTCTGCAATGATAAATCAGTTGAAAGATAAGTTTGTGGAATATTGATCTAAGATGATCTTAACAGTAATGGCCATTTTGGGAGAAACCTGAGGACTTCCACACTCCAATCCAGGAGAGCTTTTGGGGTGCTGATTATGTTACACTTGAGCATCTACCAGTGTGCTCTACCAGCTCATCTTATAAATTAGTACAGGTTGAGCCTCTGTAAAGCGGGATTCTCTGGCCCAGCAACATCTGTGGTCTGGAAGGACCATGGATGCTGCAGGACCAGAGAGTCCCAGTGGAGGGCTGGTGACTGAGTTTGCCCTGGTGGGACCAGGAAGCGGGAGGAACCAGCGTCAGTGGGGCTGTTGGAGGGGGGCAAAACGGAGGAGATGGTGGGGAGGCCGGTGGCTGGTCCAGGGCTGGGTGAAGGGTGGTAGCAGGGAGGTCAATATGACCTCGCCTGGTCTGGCAAAATCCCTTATCTGGGACCAGTCAGGTCCTAAGGGTGTTGGACCAGGGATGTCAAACCTGTAGCAGCCTTGTATGGGAACATAACAATGATTTACACAAAAGGGGAAATGAAACAGTAGTGTCTTGAAAATACAGAAATAGCTGTTACTGCTCTTGTTCAGGTGCATTAGGATGAGGGGGATTCTTCCAACAAAAATAAAGTCAGTTTTCTATTTGCATAATTCTCTATGTTAAAAGAAATGTGTATACCTGATTGGCCTGAGAGCAGTGTTGTGGTTGATGCTATTGTAGACTCTACTATAAATGAATGAAAATGAATTATTTACTTTAGGGAACATATTAATGTATAAAATAAAGTTCTAAATCTGTGATGTTGAGATGCAATCCTGTGAACAGAACAGTACCTCACAATATTTATAGAGATAAGATTTTCCAGCAGTCCCTAATTTTGTATTAGTTTTAATGCTTGTTGCTTATTACTTTGGATTTTTAAAAAATGTATGTGTAGTAACTTATCCCATGATGTACTGAGTACCCACACTATCATGCTCTAATACAAGTCTTGACTCTATGCTCTATGAAGTTGAGTCCACTTCCAGCTGTGCTTGCCAGTTGATCAACTTCCTCTCCCCTCCTTTTTAAAGCCCAAATTTTATTAGAATGCCAGAAAAAGTTAATCTTAATGAACTGGAAAATGTACAGCCTTCTTCTAATGAACCATTTAGATGATGTACCTTTGAAAACTGTTCAGATAATTTTTTTCTTTCAGTGCATCAGGGGTTAGTCAGAGTCTGTTCCAAGCCAATCACCTTTTCAAAGGTAAGCCAATTGTTGAGAATTGTCACTGAAAGTGATTTTGATTTAAACAAGCGAAAGACCGAGCCTACTGTATATAGTTATCAGTTCTGAAAGTAAGAATAACTTTGAGAGTCTGCTGATTGTTCTTTGGCCATCTTTGATGTTTCTTACCAACATGACTGGTAGCTTTAAAAACAAATGATCTTGTTTGATAGTCTTGTATACTACTTAATGAACGTGAAAAGCTCTGTAAGCTGTTCAATATAATGATAGTATTTTGAAAGCTAGCGAGGAAGAGTGACCTATACCCCTAAATGCCTTATAGCTTAGATTGGTTATCTCAAACTAGATTGTAACTAATCAGTGAGACTTTAGTCCATGTTGGAGAACATCACAGAAGTTCCAAGTAGGTAACAGGCAATCATTTTTCAGATGCCCCTTGTGGCTTGGATGGTTCTGTTGTGCCCTGTCTCAGTTTCCTTTGTGCTATGGAGCCCTTACATCTACACAGTCCAAATATTCAAAGCATTCCCCTTCTGGAGTCCAATTTATTAAAACCTGTGCAATCTGTTGCAAAACCAAACTCAGACTACAGGGGGCTTGTTTATATGGACATTTAGTTGGTGCCAAGATGGTGCATACTCACCTACTGTGTACTAACTATCTGCTCCAGTTTCAAAATGGGGCTGTGGACTGAAGTGCTCTATGGTTCTTTTAATTGTAGCAGTAGGGTCCACAAAGAGAGGTAGTGAGGGAGGGCTAATGCAAGGTAGATTTACCCCAACTTGTGATGAGCTAAATGTAAGTGTAGACAATACCAGAGTCTTAGCCCCAATCCCAGCCTGGGCAGTCTTTCCTCTCTAGGTCTTCTCTACGGTCTAGTTAGTCTTTTCTTTAGATAAGACAACACTCTCCTCTCCTCTTGTGTCAGAGCTTCTAGAACTGGGTTGTAATCAAATAGACCTTTTTACTGCCTGTAGGACTGCTTGCTCAGGTCAGCTGCAGTATTCCAGGCTTCTATCATGCCTGGCACTTAATCTGGATGTAGCTGAAGTGAGACCTAACTTTAGTTACCTTCTCTAGGGACTGCCTCAGGAGTCTGTACTTTCCTCCCTTATCCTTGTCTTATCACATGACCTCATGATCTTGCTTGCTTAGTACCCACTTGGGGAACTAAGCTGACCTTTTCATAGGTGAGGCTGAGTCCACATTTCCTTTTAAAGTTAACAGTTAATCTCTCACACTGCGCTCAGTCAGAATCTCTCTAAACTAATAGACCTGAAGATCACCTGAAGAAAAAAATGAAATGAAGATGCAGCACATACACTGGAAAATTTTAAAACTGTTAGTTGTACTCTGCTGCCTCCAGCATGGTGAAAGCAGGGGGTTGTCTGTTTCATTCTTCTAATCTAAAAGTGACTTCCAGTTACTTATCTAAGCCTTTATTGAGACTTTTTTTTCTAAAGAAAATATGTAGCTGAGGCTGTTGTAGGTAGTTTCATGTGCAATGTGTGGTACAGTTATTTAAAAATATTAACTCATGATCTGTTGCACTGCCCTGCAGGAGACTTTTGGAAAAGAATCTTCTAAATGGGAAGAGCCCGTAGCAGCTGGAGAGGTCAGAACCGGGAAATGGAAAGTACCTACATATAAAGACTATCTGGATTTGTTTAGAAGTCTGTTGAACTGTGACACAATGAAGGTAAAAGTCCACTTAATGCTGAGACTCAACAAGAGAAAGTTGAACTTCTTGGGGTTTTTTTTTTGGTTACATCTATTTGGATAATGCAAGATTATTGTTTTACTCTTGAAGGAATTTTGTGCTACTGCACATGTGCATAATTGAGTGGTATATATTATTTTTTGTGCAGAAAAAAGCTTTTGGTGGGAAGTTGCTGTATTTCTGTCTTTTGCCCACCTGAGGGTGCAGTAGTGATAGAACACAGCAGCAGCTCCCAGCAAGCTAGGCAAGAAAGAGAGACTTTTTCAAAGTGCCTGTTGGGTTAGGTCAAGAGACAGGGCTATGGGGCCACACAGGCTATAGGGTGCCGGGGGTAGGTCAGACAGGTGTCCTGGGGGTGAGGGGTTAGACAGGCGTTTATAAGGACTAGTGGGGGAGGACAGACTGGGGAAGGGACTGAATGGGAGTGGAGGTGCAATTCCAAAGGGGGCAGAGCCACATGAGGATGGGAGTTACAGTTGCAGAGCTACAGGAAGAATAGTGATGGCTGGGTGGGCACACAGAGACACATGGGTACAGAGGGAGGGATTCAGGGCTTCAAGAAAGATGGAGTGGATGTTTAAGTGGGGTGAAGGGATGCATGTGGATGGGGCATATGTGTCTGACTGAATGGGACAGACTAGGGTTAATGAGGATCTACATGGGGAATGCCCCCTAATGGTTCCCCCCAAATGCTACCCCCCAAAAGAACACCTGTCCATACTTTTCCCACTTACACCCAACAAGTAATTACTTCCCTCTCCCTCATTTCCCCCATTACTCCAGAGTTTGTTCAGCCTTTGCACTGCTGTTGTGTGGGCTATCTTGCTTAGTTCTGTCTTAGAATCTGAGTCCTGTTCTGTTCTTATACCTGCTATTCCAACCCCAGATTTCTTCTAGGTAGGCAATCAGTCATGCTTTAGTGTAGTGACATAGCGATGTGGACTCTGGATGTGGGCTGAGGGTATGATGATAATATTAATTTAACAAAGATGAACTTTGCCTTATCAGGTGAAAGGCTACTGTATTAACCCACTGCACCACAATTCCCCAAAACTTTTAAGTTAAAAAATAACAGTGACTGTAAGTTCCATATTAGCTCTTACCATGGTTTAATTCTCCCTCCCCTTCCAAAGGATTCAGTTCTGGCAGATGAAACCTCTCTAATTGCAAATTCACCGCTGCTGTCTCTGAACCGTTTGTTGTATGATGAACTTATAAAATCGATATTGAAGATCATTGAGAAGTTGGACTTGACAGTTCAGAAACTGAATGCCAGTGAACAGGTGAGGCTTGATACTTCACAATAATTATTGTGATGAAAATCTCAAACTTCAGTCTTTTGTCTTTCTTTGCATAAAATGTTGCCCTTGAAGTCTGCTTGAGTTAAAATTCATAATAATCAAAATGTATTAATTTTTACTTCTGGAAGCTATTTCCAAACTGCCATAATGGTTGTCTTCAAGACAGACAAAATCCCCTTCTTGGCATCCTCTGATCTCTTTTTTTAGTCTTGTTTTTCTTAGTGAGTGAGTATTTTCAGTTCTTACAAATCCAGTAAGTCATGTGTGTCAGTTTTTAAAAAGACAGATTAACTTGTCGCAAACTAGTGAGCATATTCTTTTTCCTGCTCTGCTACTGACTGAAAACAGTGGCTAAGTGTTGTCTGTAATGATCTCTCTGTTGAAGTGCATACTACTTCTGTTATGCAACTTTTTTTCCCCCTCCCTAGGATGAAAATGAAGCTGGCAGTGCTTTGGTTGTTCCTACTTCTGATCCAGCATCAAACCTTCAACCAACTAAGCCTAAAGATTTTATAGCCTTTGTTAACCTAGTAGAATTCTGCAGGTAATGCATATTCTGTAATTTGGGAGTTACGGAGTAGGTGCTGGGATAGTAGGATATCGTTCTACTTCATGCTGATTAGGCCTCAGTTGGGGTATTGTTTCCAGTTTTGGGCACAACATTTAAGGAAAGATGTGGAGAAACTGGAGAACTTTCAGAGGGGAACAACAAAAATGATTAAAGGTCTAGAAAACATGATCTATGAGGGAAGATTGAAAGAATTGGGTTTCTTTAGTCTGGAAAACAGAAGACTGAGCAGGGATTTAATAGCTTTCAAGTACCTAAAAGGGTGTTAAAAGGAAGAGGGAGGAAAAAAATATTGTCCTTCACCTCCGATGGTAGGACAAGAAACAATGGGATTAAATTGTAGCATGGGAGATATAGGTTGGACATTAGGAAAAACTTTAACTGACAGGGTGGTTAAGAACTGGAATAAATTGCCTATGGAGATTGTGGAATCTCCATCATTGGAGATTAAGAGCAGGTAAGATAAACATCTGTCAGGGATGCTCTAGATGGAGCTTGGTCCTGCCATGAGTGCAGGGGACTGGACTTGATGACTTTTTGAGTCACTTCCAATCTTAGTATTCCATGATACTGTATAAATGTGAAATATTCATATTGAGCATGATTATTTTTCTGGCTATATTTGAAGTCTGTTTAAAATGCACAATATCCAGAAAACTAGTTGAAAGCAAGTAACTACAGTTTGAACATTTAGATTGCTAGGGAAAATACTGATATTGGTACAGTGTATTAGTGTACACTGAAACTGTATAGAAGATTTGCAACAAACTCCAGGATACATGATGCCCTTAAAATTAAGTGCAGAATTAACTGTGATTGCTGCGTTTTAGTGCTGTCATCCTTATATCCTAAGTGCTTAGCTTCAGAAACTTAAAATTCAATATTAGAAGTTTTTGTGACCATTCTAATACTCTTATAAATACTTGATAGGAGAGTTGTTCACTTTCATTTTACTCTTAAAGCCATTCTCGCTTACAGCATGTGTTAGCAATAGCATCTATAATTACAGTAGCTATTGTAGTACAGTAAAAGCTTTATCTGGCTTTCTCTTAACCGAAAAACTGTTAATCAGCATTGCCCCCATCCGGTTAACAGAGTTTGAATTTAACAGAGTGCTGGATGAGCTGCTGGCTCCGCTCCAGGGGAGCGGAGCTGGCAAGGGCTGTTTTGTTATCCGACATGTTCAGTTAACTGGCAACCACCGTTTCGTTTCCCCTGAGTGCCGGATGACAAAGCTTTCATTGTATATAAAAATTGAGAACTTTCAGTTCTCATGCTTAAGGGCAGAAAATCTCCTTTAAATATGCTATGTATTTTATGTGAAGGCCCACCACACTACAATAATATAATTGTAATCTGTAGGTGTTTAGGATTATTACTGTGGGAATATTGTCATATGTTGTTTATAAGGTTGATCACTGGATGAGGTCAAGAAGAAGTTCCCTTTGTGCTCTGTATAGTTAGGAATTTTACTCCTTCCTCATTAATATCCTATAAATGCTTTCTTTTCGAGATTGGTCATACCATTATGGCAGTTATGTTTTTCAATTTCAAACTGGTATAAGAAAAACTCATTTCAGTTTATTTTGTTTGAATGTTCCCTATGCATTTATTTATAGAGAAATTCTGCCAGAGAAGCATCTTGAATTTTTTGAGCCATGGATGTATTCGTTTGGTTATGAGCTTATTATACAGTCAACACGGTTACCTCTTATTAGTGGATTCTACAAATTGCTCTCTGTTGCAATGAAAATTGCCAAGAAAATAAAATATTTTGACGTGAGTACTCTCACATGGGAAATTTCATGTTGTATTTTAAAGACTATGTAACTTGTGCACAACTGAAAATATTTGATAGTTGTTCCCTATTTTATGTAAAAAATTTTGGTGCAAATTGTGCCTTTTTGCCCCCCAAGCCCTTCAAAACCTATTGGAAGGCTGAACTTAGGCTGAAAAATCAGTATTTTAAAATATCCCTGTGGTATTGCTTTCTGTTGGATCTTAGCTTCTTAGTGTGAGATTAGTAGAAATGACCTAGTATTTAAAGGTATTTGACCTTTAAGATGGCTGGCCACATCCTCAGCTGATGTAAATTGGCAGAGATCCATTGGCTTCAGTAGAAGGAGGCTGATTTATATAAGCTAGGAAAATGATCCAATAAATTCAGCTAAGTAGAATTGCCAAGTAAGTAAGTTACTCTTTTTTTGACAGTGCTCGGTCATGTTGATTCCATTTTAAGTATGTATGCACCCATATTCATAGTTGTCTAAGACTTCTGTCTTAGTTGTATCTGAAGAGCCATCTGTGGCACTCTCTGGAGTGACGCTTCTGTGTGGTAGCATATTAGGTGTCGCCAGCCCTGTGCCGCCTTGTTTCCTGGACTTCCTTGATTTAGCAATTGCTAAGGTTTTTTTCTTGTCTCAACAGACTTCATGCGTTAGGCCTTTGTAAGTAGCTTGTTGATCAGGACTTCACCCACAGTGGGACATTATCCGTTAGTCTGGCTTCAAGTCGTTGTTGGCATGTGGTAGGCCATTGCTCATCAGTGATCCACATGAGAGTTATCAGAAGTGTCTGGGAGAAAGCCAAAGGAAGGATCCTGTCTGATCCTCCCAGAAGTCAAGGAGGCAAAAACAAGTCATTTTGAGGGTGCACTTCAGAACAGCACCCTGGCAAATATGCTGGGACCAGCCCTATCTTAACCGCCTCTGCCGTTTCCATTTGACCTGTTTCTGTGTCACCGTGGACCACTGACTGCTCATTACTGTTTCATCAGGATCTCCCCAGGTGGACTTGTTTGCATCCATCCAGGCAGAACAAGAAATATCACAGCTTCCTCCACTTCCATTGCTACCAAGGGTCCTCTCAGACAGGAGAGGGTAAGTGTGGCATGGGCATGCCAGAACTGGATCTCTCAGTGGTGACTTCGTTCCAGCTCCCCTTCAGGTTGGACCTGTTCTGCCAGAACTATGGCAGTTTTTTGTACCCAAACCTGGCAGCATTACATCTGGGGGCCTGGCTGTTGTATGGCTGAGGTTCAGCATGTCCTGTTGGGAAATAGGAAGCTCTCCACCAGAGCAACTTACCTGGCAAATGGAATTGGTTCACTTTCTGAATAATGGACAGAATTGTCTGTCCTGAATGGATTCCTCTGCAGCTTATTCTTGGATACTTCTTGCATCTCAAGTTCTTGGTCTTATCCCTTTTAACAATCCAAGGCCCATCTAGTGGCCATCTCGACCTTCCATCTGTTGTTTGAGGGCCAGGTTTATGTTTTGCCAAGGATATCACAGCCAGATTTTTTTAAGGGCCTAGAGCATCTCTACTCACAAATGAGGGCCAAGGTTATCGGCCACATGTTTAAGCTGCTGTGAGACTTAAATCTGGTGCTGTTTCATTCCCCCATCTTCTCCTCTTGAGCCTATGGCTTCATAGTCTTTCCTCCTTTCCTGGAAGACCACTTTCCTAGTTACAGTGATGTCAGCCTACTGAGTATCTGAGATTCAGGCACTCAGCTTAGAACTGTCGTACATGGCCTTCTACAAGGACAAGGTCCACCTCAGGTCACGCACAGCGTTTCTTCCCATGGTTGTCTGTTTAATTTGAATCAGGACATTTACTTTCTGGTCTTCTTTTCAAAGCCCTATAAATTGGAGGAGGAGTGAAGGCTACATGTCTTGGAAGTCCAGAAGGCTCTGGTCTTCTATATTAACAGAAGCAGGTCATTCTGTAAGTCGTCAAAATTATTTGTTACTGACAGGTTTTCCTGTATCTTCTCAAAGAATTTCTTCTTGGATCATGGCCTGCATTAACTTCTACTATGACCAAGCAAAGGTGCTGCCTCCAGCGATCATCACCGCTCACTCCACCAGAATGCAGGCCTTGGCAGCCTTTCTGATTCGTGTTTATTCAAGACATCTGCAGAGCAGCCGCCTAGTCATCTGTCTGCACCTTTATTTCTCGCTATGTACTGACTCAGCAGGCCCAGAACTATGCTGTCTTTACAGGGCAGTATTACAAGTAGCTAAGTTGTGAACTCCGAGCCCACCTCTGTGGCTACTGCTTATGAACCACTTAAAATGGAACCAAAAAGAGCAAGCACTTGAAGCAAAAAATGGTTCCCTACCTTTTCATAACTGTGGTTCTTCAAGATGTGTTGCTTATGTCCATTCCATTTCCTGCCCTCCTACCCCACAGTTGGAGTTGCTGGCAAGAAGGAACTGAGAGCGTGCACCCTAATATACCGCTGCATGAAAGGGTGCACATGGGCAGACGCACACCTAAAATGGAATGGACATGAGTAACACATCTAAAAGAACAACAGTTACAAAATGGTAACCCTTTTTTTATTCTCTGAGTTTATATGCTGTTGTGGGAGGAGGATTTCTGTGGGTGTAAAATGGTTCTTCAATTCAATGGATATCCTTAGAGCTGTGAGTTAGGGAAAATGTACAGCTCTTGAGCCACCTACATAGAGAAGCTGTCCTCCTGTGCACATTGCATATCTTAGAATCATAGAATCATAGGACTGGAAGGGACCTCAAGAGGTCATCGAGTCCAGCCCCCTGCCCGCAAGGCAGGACCAAGCTCTGTCTATACCATCCCTGATAGATGTCTATCTAACCTGTTCTTAAATATCTCCAGAGAGGGAGATTCCACCACCTCCCATGGCAATTTATTCCAATATTTGACCACCCTGATAGTTAGGAATTTTTTCCTAATGTCCAATCTAAACCTCCCCTGCTGCACTTTAAGCCCATTACTCCTTGTCCTGTCCTCAGAAACCAAGAGGAACAAATTTTCTCCTTCCTCCTTGTGACACCCTTTTAGATATTTGAAAGCCGCTATCATGTCCCCCCTTAATCTTCTTTTTTCCAAACTAAACAAGCCCAGTTCATGAAGCCTGGCTTCATAGGTCATGTTCTCTAAACCTTTAATCATTCTTGTTGCTCTTCTCTGTACCCTTTCCAATTTCTCCACATCTTTCTTGAAATGTGGTGCCCAGAACTGGACACAGTACTCCAGCTGAGGCCTAACTAGTGCAGAGTAGAGCGGCAGAATGACTTCACGAGTTTTGCTTACAACACACCTGTTGATACAACCTAGAATCATATTTGCTTTTTTTGCAACAGCATCACACTGTTGACTCATATTCAACTTGTGGTCCACTATGACCCCTAGATCCCTTTCTGCCATGCTCCTTCCTAGACAGTCGCTTCCCATCTTGTATGTATGGAACTGATTGTTCCTTCCTAAGTGGAGCACTTTGCATTTCTCTTTATTAAACTTCATCCTGTTTACCTCTGACCATTTCTCTAACTTGCTAAGGTCATTTTGAATTATGTCCCTATCCTCCAAAGAAGTTGCAACCCCACCCAGTTTGGTATCATCTGCAAACTTAATAAGCGTACTCTCTATCCCAATATCTACATCATTGATGAAGATATTGAACAGTACGGGTCCCAAAACAGACCCTTGCGGAACTCCACTTGTTATCCCTTTCCAGCAGGATTTAGAACCGTTAACAACAACTCTCTGACTACGGTTATCCAGCCAATTATGCACCCACCTTATCGTGGCCCTATCTAAGTTATATTTGCCTAGTTTATCAATAAGAATATCATGCGAGACCGTATCAAATGCCTTACTAAAGTCTAGGTATATGACATCCACCGCTTCTCCCTTATCCACAAGGCTCGTTATCTTATCAAAGAAAGCTATCAGATTAGTTTGGCATGACTTGTTCTTCACAAACCCATGCTGGCTATTCCCTATCACTTTATTACCTTCCAAGTGTTTGCATATGATTTCCTTAATTACCTGCTCCATTATCTTCCCTGGGACAGACGTTAAACTGACCGGTCTGTAGTTTCCTGGGTTGTTCTTATTCCCCTTTTTATAGATGGGCACAATATTTGCCCTTTTCCAGTCTTCTGGAATCTCCCCTGTCTGCCATGATTTTTCAAAGATCATAGCTAAAGGCTCAGATACCTCCTCTATCAGCTCCTTGAGTATCCTGGGATGCATTTCATCAGGACCTGGTGACTTGCTGACATCTAACTTTCCTAAGTGATTTTTAACTTGTTCTTTGTGTATCCTATCTTCTAAACTTACCCTCTCTCTGCTTGTATTCACTACGTTAGGCACACCTCCAGACTTCTCGGTGAAGACCGAAACAAAGAAGTCATTGAGCATCTCCGCCATTTCCAAGTTCCCTGTTACTGCTTCTCCCTCCTCGCTAAGCAGTGGGCCTACCCTGTCCTTGGTCTTCCTCTTGCTTTTAATGTATTTATAAAAGGTCTTCTTGTTTCCCTTTATGCCTGTAGCTAGTTTGATCTCATTTTGTGCCTTTGCCTTTCTAATCTTGCCCCTGCATTCCCGTGTTGCTTGCCTATATTCATCCTTTGTTAGTTGTCCTAGTTTCCATTTTTTATATGACTCCTTTTTTATTTTGAGATCGTGCAAGATCTCCTTGTTAAGCCAAGCTGGTCTTTTGCCATATTTTCTATCTTTCCTACACAGCGGAATTGTTTGCTTTTGGGCCCTTAACAACGTCCCTTTGAAATACTTCCAACTCTCCTCAGTTGTTTTTCCCTTCAGTCTTGCTTCCCATGGGACCTTACCTACAAGTTCTCTGAGCTTATCAAAATCTGCCTTCCTGAAATCCATTACCTCAATTGTGCTGGTCTCCCTTCTACCTTTCCTTAAGATCATGAACTCTATTATTTCGTGATCACTGTCCCCTATACTGTCTTCCACTTTCAAGTTCTCAACTAGTTCCTCCCTATTTGTTAAAACCAAATCCAGAACAGCTTCTCCTCTGGTAGCTTTTTCAACCTTCTGAAACAGAAAGTTGTCTCCAATGCAGTCCAGAAACTTATTGGATAGCCTGTGCCTCGCTGTGTTAGTTTCCCAACATATGTCTGGATAGTTGAAGTCCCCCATCACCACCAAATCTTGGGCTTTGGCTAGTTTTGTTAATTGTTTAAAAAAGGCCTCATCCACCTCTTCCACCTGGCTAGGTGGCCTGTAGTAGACTCCTAGCATGATATCACCCTCGTTTTTTACCCCTTTTAGCTTAACCCAGAGACTCTCTACACAGCTATCTCCTACGTTCATCTCCTCTTCAGTCCAAGTGTGTACATTTTTAATATACAAGGCAACCCCTCCTCCCTTTTTTCCCTGTCTGTCCTTCCTGAGCAAGCCGTACCCTTCCATACCAACATTCCAATCATGCGTCCCATCCCACCAGGTTTCTGTAATACCAATGATATCATAGTTGTATTTATTTGTTAGGAATTCCAGTTCTTCCTGCTTATTACCCATACTTCTCGCATTTGTATATAGGCATCTAAGATACTGATTTGATCTTGCCTCCCTGTTGTGCCCTGACTCTCCTTTCTCCGTAGTTCCCCCCATTTCCAACCCATCTCCCAGTCCCGCACATTCAGAACTTACCTGTGGGCTTTGCTCACCTGTCCCCGTCGAAACTAGTTTAAAGCCCTCCTCACAAGGTTAGCCAGTCTGTGTCCAAACAAGGCCTTCCCGCTCCTGGAAAGGTGAACTCCATCTCTGCCAAGCAGTCCTTCCTGGAAGCCTCCCTCACCTGTACTCCCAAAGCCCTGTAGTCACGCTTGATCTGCTCAGTGTCACACCTGGCAGTATCATTTGTGCCCACATGGATGAGTAGCATGGGGTAGTAGTCAGAGGGCCGGATAATCCTCGACAATGCTTCCGTAACATCTCGGACGCTTGATCTGCTCAGTGTCACACCTGGCAGTATCATTTGTGCCCACATGGATGAGTAGCATGGGGTAGTAGTCAGAGGGCCGGATAATCCTCGACAATGCTTCCGTAACATCTCGGATATGGGCCCCTGGCAGACAGCATACCTCTCGAGATGAACTGTCAGGGAAACAGATGGGCCCCTCCGTTCCTCTCAGAAGAGAGTCTCCAACCACTACTACCCTACGTTTCTTCCTCGCAGTGGTGGGCGGAGACTGCTCAACCTTGGTGGTGCAAGGCCTGGTCTCCTCCACTGCGGGGGGTGACTCCTTGTCTCCTGCAGAAAGTATAGTGTAACGGTTATGTAACAACACCGTGGGAGGGTTAGGAGCAGGGGTGGAACACTGCCTGCTGCCAGAAGTAACCAGCTGCCAGTGCTCACCCTGCACCACCACCTCCTCCATAAGTGGCAGGTCAGCAGTCCCACATCCTAGGACAGTGACCTCAGTGGACTCCACAGGAATACTGTCCAGAGATTCCTTATGGCCTTGAATGCTCCTCAGCCTGGCTACCTCCTCCTGTAGCTCTCCCTCCCATCTTATCCCACCCCAAATGGGATCATAGTTCCAACAAAGAGCCTGGGCTGTGCTTGCCTCTCCAAGAGCTATAGAAAGAAGGAAAGAAGCAGTTTGTGTAAGTTCAAACTAACAAGGGTGCCATTAATTTCCACTAAAATTGTTTAAACATATATGTAGTTTAGCGTGAGGGGGTGATGCTATAGTAAGCTGCCTTCTTTTCCTACTCCAATCCCTTTCTAGCCACACTTCTATAACTCTGCTGAGTCATATACTTACAGGCTGTCTCTAGACTGGCCAGTTTTTCCGGAAAATCAGCCGCTTTTCTGGAAAAACTTGCCAGCTGTCTACACTGGCCGCTTGAATTTCCGCAAAAGCACTGACTTCCTACTGTAAGAAATCAGTGCTTCTTGTGGAAATACTATGCTGTTCCCATTCAGGAAAAAGTCTTTTTGCGCAAAACTTTTGCGCAAAAGGGCCAGTGTAGACAGCTCAGATTTTTTTTCTGCAAAAAAAGCCCCGATCGCAAAAATGGCTATCGGGGCTTTTTTGCGGAAAAGAGCGTCTAGATTGGCATGGACACTTTTCCGCAAAAATTGCTTTTGTGGAAAAGTGTCCGTGCCATTCTAGACGCTCTTTTCCGAAAATGCTTTTAACGGAAAACTTTTCCGTTAAAAGCATTTCCGGAAAATCATGCTAGTCTAGACGTAGCCACACTGTTTATAGGGAGAATGTTGATTGTGTTTACTTTGGCCTGAAGTCAGGGTCAGGGAAAGGAAGTGTTGCTACTGCTTTAACTCCATCCATGTACATAATGATGAATTTGGCTAATATTTGCATACTTTAAATAGCTTTTGTACCTCAAAGAAGAGAGGATAATTTTGGCCTTCAATGCTTGTTGCTAGTATGTAATGGTTACTTCTGCTGAGAAAAGAGACTGAACATACATTTTAAGCTTACATTTTAGCAGATCTATGAGTATTCAGGCACAGCATGTTCTTATCCTGCAGCTTTTTGTTTTGAGCGTAACTTGTAGGACAAGTCTTGATGTCTGTCAGAACATCTACCTTTTGTGTATTCTTTTATTCATAGCATTGATGATAGTGTCTGTTTGGCAGGGTGCAAGTCCCAGGAGTTACCAAAAATGCTCTGATGACCCTGAGAAGAGCTCTTGCTTTGCACTATTTGCAAAATTTGGGAAAGAGGTAAACAATTTTCCTTGTTAGGCTTTTATTGCTGTATCAATTTAAGCGGTGTTAAGTAGAGTTAAGCAATGTTTCAGTACAACATTTATAACGATAGTAACTTTTTGATTTTTTGGCTCTGGCACAGTACAAGATTATCCCAGCATTTTGGGTTATAATCGATACTTTAAATATGACCATGACTATGTGCAGGTGCCTTTCCCTGCCTGCTCACTAGCACAGACCAAATATGCTGTAGTCCAAACTTGCTGCCTTTCTGACATTGGAACAGTAAGATCAAATTCAGCTCAAGCTTTCTCCTGAGTTGGCTGCTCACCTGACAACCGTAATCCTCTCTGGTTAATAATTTCTTATGTTGAGGTGGATAAATAAGCCACCCATCTCAGTAAGCCATCAAAAAAACATTTAAGCGTCTCAGGTAGGATCAATACCTGCTCTTGGCTGGTGTGTCTCAGTTCGAACAATGTCATCCCATTATGCTGAAGTAATTGTGTCCGATAACCCAATAGTGCAGTATAGCATGATGATATGCTCCTTTTCTTCTTTAAATTCCAAAATGACTAGAAGTGATCCAGACTTGGGGGAGAGACATTTATATCCCTTACTTAACTTAAAAAATGTAAAGGCAATTCATTAAACAAATATAAATATTATCATGCCTTTTAGTCCATAATAATTATTAGTGCCAAGAATGAACTTCAGGGAATGAAATGCTCCTCAGTACAAAATAAATCGCAAAACACACCTTCCATTGTTAAATGAAAATAACCAAATCAGGGAGAACAACTCTCTCTTTTAAACATGGATGGCAAATTCTACTATACTTCAGTGGAATATCAGCGAATCAAAGTAGAATGATATTGTGCAGTTCCTCATCTACAACTATACAGTTATTTTTCAGTTGCACATAATTATTCAGATCCTGTACCCAGATTTATTATTGCAGTTTATAGAATGGATCTGCAATACTGTAGTCTAAAAATGCATATTACAAATCAAATGTAAGTTAACATGATGTCACTTAAACTTACCCTGGTGTTCAAAAATAGAGACTTGGTCCACCACGTCAGAAAAAACTATGTACAGTAGACTTACGATAATCTGGCACCTTTTGGACGTAGGTGGTGCCGGATTATCAGATTTGCCGGAGAATCAGGAGGTCCAGTACAGCTGAATGGCTTAACAGCTGGCCAGGACACAATCTCCCTTCCTCTCCCCTCCCCTCCCCTCCACTCCCCTCTTCGCAGCTCCTCCCTGCTGTAACCTGATCCTCTTCCCCTCCCCCTCCTTTCCCCTTCACTGAAGCAAAATGCTCTTCTCCTTACTGTAACATGATCCCACTCCCTCCCCCTCTCCCCCAACCTTATGTACTGTCTGGTTACAGCCAGCCTGTGTGCTCAGCTGCAGGCTTTTTAATCAGCTGGTCAGGAGCGCTTGGCATTTTGATGCCGGAGTATCAGGAGTGCTGAACAGTTGGATGCCGGACTATCGGAGTTTTTCTGTAAATAGCTTTGCAGTATGCTTGCAAGGCCAACTAAATTAGGCTTTGCCAGGTCAAGGGAGGAGAAGCAGATTCCATAGCCAAAATCTAATCTTTGTCCCTAAAATTTTGTTCAGGAGACAGGTTTAATGCTGAGAGCAAGCAAGCACTGTCCTTTCACTGATTGTAGTCAGGAAATAAGTTCAAATTAAGCAGACAAAAAATCATCCTATTACTATTGATAGCATTATAGTGCTGCTGACTTTTTTGTAATATGGGCCTTGATTTAAAAAAAACAAAACACTTCAAACATGTCTACATGGCCCCTTATTAGAACTGCATTCTTAATTTACTTGTTCAACTGAAATCAGACCAAAACCATGAAATCTCACAAAACCTTCTCTTTCAGTAGAGTTTAAAAGTCTTGGTTGATTTTTACCTACAATACCAACTTCTTAAGTATACTTTTTACCCTCAAGATATTTTCTGAGTTCCTATGGATTTCTGTTATTACTCATTATATTCTTCACTAATTAAGAGTCATGTGTTCTATAAATTATGTAGCAAGATACCAAATGAATACAGATATACAGCCAACAATTTCAAGATACTTTATTTTTATTTACCAACTAAACAAACAATTTGCTCAATTATTATTGTTTGTTACACTTCTGAATTTTAGGTAACAGCAAAAATGAAACAATACAAAGATGAATTGTTAGCATCATGTCTGACCTTTGTACTCGCCTTACCACATGACATCATCATGCTTGATATCAAAGCTTACATTCCTGCATTACAGGTGGGTCAGCTAACAGTTTGTTGGCTTTTGTATTTATAAACACTTGAAAAATTCTCTAATTTTACAATTTTTTTGATAGGCTGGTAACAAATCTTTCACTTTTGAGGTAGCATCACGGTTGACAAAGGATGAACAAGTCGTCTTATATGTGAAAGCTGGTGAATTTGTATAGCTACAACATGTTATGTTTGCAGCTCCACTTGAAGGCCCTGATCATGCAAAGGAATTGTGATGTTGTAATGTAGTAAAATAAATGTTTGATACATTAGAATGTCAGTTGTTGGGAAACTAAAGACATAAAAGGGCATTATCATTTATAGTAGTGCTATAATTTTACTCTTAAAGAAAAAGATTTTATCTTAGTACCTGATTCCAAAATATTTAATAATTGTGTTGATTTCATATGTAGAATGCATTTAAGCTTGGCCTCAGCTATACCCCAATAGCTAATGAAGGGCTGGATACCCTGGAAGACTGGTCAGCTCACATTCCCAAACATATAATTCAGCCTTACTACAAGGATGTCCTTCCTCTCTTTGATGGCTATTTGAAAAACACTGCATCAGTGGGTAAGTAGTATTAATAAAGGGATAGTATAGGAATATAGAATTGAGGCCGTTTGGAAGCTTTATTTGCAAGCATAATTAATAATATAAAATTCAGTAGAGCCTGAAAGTTACCGGTATACGATACTTGCAGCATATTGTAGAAACTCTTGCATGTATACTATTAAGAGATTCTTCTACAATCAAAAATTGTGCCTTTTTTAAAAACTGAGAGGCATCAGTAATTTCCTGCAAGTAGAATTCCAACAATAGCAAATGGTATCAATTTAATGTGCCATTTTTTGAATTATTTTCAGCCAATAGCTAACAGGACAATAACTATTGTATTATTCCTAGTCTAGTATATAGTGGTAAGTATTGTGATCTTGGTGGGAGTTCAGTGCACTCATGAGTGGGCCATAACCTCAGTTATCTGGTTTTCACTTCCAGCTATAATAATTGGCTTTTTCAGTGTTCACAGCCCAGGAAAAAGGCCCATATTGGATGGTGAAATTTTACCTTTACTAAAATCCCCATTAATTGTTGTGTAATAATAATTTGAAAAATGTAAATAGTAAATGAAAAATTAGGAGAGCCTTTTCATGGCCAATGCTGTGCAAATCTGGAAATAGCTTTGTGGGGATTTCTATTATTAGGAAATGGCTATTGACATCACTCTGCATTTCACAAGTGCAAGCAAGCTCATTTACACTCCCAGTGCTTGATGACAACAGTCCCATTGTCTCTTCTCTGGTGTTGGGTTTCCTTGGAGTGGGCTTAAAGTTGTTTCCGTAACATGAAGAGTTTTCCCATTTTTGATAGTTGAAAGGAAACTTAATTTTTGCAAAATCACTCTTAAGAGAATAGATTCCATAAGGTTTGTGGGTGGATTAGTATTGTACAGCATTAATAAGTGCTTTTTATTGATCAGATGAGTCCCAGAATAATTGGGAAGTGATGAAGCTTTCTCGTGCAGCTCAGAAAGGATTTAACAAAGTTGTGATACAACGTCTGAAAAAAGCAAAGACCCTTTCATTGGTAAACCCTTCTCTTTCTTTATTGAAACCATGAAACATTAACACAACTGTTTTACTCCTATTTTAAAACCCAAAGGCTGTATCTACATTGGCAAGATTTTGCGCAAAAGCGATGGCTTTTGTGCAAAATCTTGCTGCCTGACTACACTGGCCGCGAGTACAGGCAGTCCCCGGGTTACGTACAAGATAGGGACTGTAGGTTTGTTCTTAAGTTGAATCTGTATGTAAGTCAGAACTGGTGTCCAGATTCAGCCGCAGTTGAAACTGATCATTTTCAGCAGCGGCTGGCGCCCGTTCCGACTTAAAGACAGATTCAACCTAAGAACAAACC